GGTCTGGCTCCTAGGACATCTAGCCTTACACCATTTCTTCGTCCCTCATCACTTCTGCAAACCCCTCCCCCTTTCTTTTTCCTACACTGGCAGAAGAGAAAGCACATGGGATTCTTCCACAAGCACCTGAGTCCTTCCCCATATGTGTGACGCCCATCCCCTACCCAGGAGCCACACAACTCACATTCAGTGACAGAGGTGCCCAGCCTGCCACAGAGCCCATCCAGGAAGCTGGGTTGAAAAGGCCACTGTCCATGGCCACCTGATCCAAAATCCCTCTGATGTCATCAGCAGCAGGAACTCCCACAGTTCACCTGCATTTTTCATAACCCTCAGTATCCATGGGTTTTGCATCAGAGGATTCAACCAATTACAGATTGAAAATATTGGGAAAAGAAATTGCAACTGTACCAAACACATACAGATGTTTTCTTCCTTATACAGATGTTTTTCCTTATTATTATTCCCTTTACAGCACAGTTTAGCAACCATGTACCCAGCCCTTACATTGTCTTAGACAGTACAGTGTAAACCTTCTAGAGATGACGTGAGGTATACAGGAGGATGTGTGGAAGCTCTATACAAATAATGCACCATTTTGCATGAGGGACTTGAGCATTCATGGATTTTGGCATCCAGGAGATCTTGCAACCAATGCCCTGGGGATGCTGAGGGATGACCGTTCTCTAACAAGGCTCTGGACGGCAAGCTGCCTCACAAACTGCTGAGGTTCCTGGCATGGAGCTTCTTACAGAATTCAAGAGCACAAACAGGCTTTGAACTTGTTCTTCTTCTCTCACAGGGCTCAGGTGTTCTAAAAGCTTGGTGCCTTCCTCTTCCCGTGGGCAGCTCCACCATGGCAAGTTTGCCAGGACAGAATAAGGTACATGGCTTCGGGAAAGCTGTCTTGTTTGCAGTGACCCTCGATTTACAACCCTGTGGTTACATCACACAGGATTCTGGAGAAAGACCAATTCCATTTGCTTACATGTCTGCTCCTGAGGCTCTGGCATTTTGAACACTCCTGGAAATCATTTGCTTTTAATAACCATTTGATTCTATCACTGTAAGAATGAACTCGGCTGCATGACTCTGAAGAATCCAGGCAGAGGGTAATGGCTGCCTCAGTGTAAAACTCCATCTCTTTTAGGGTTATTTTAGGCTGCCTTGATTTTTCTTAATGAAGAGGAGCCAGTTTCTTCCTGAAATAATTCCCACACACCTGAATCTCTGCAAACATCACTTAATTGCCAAAGGATTCAGAACCACACAGCAAAGCTGAATAAAGCCTAAAAAAACAAGCTGACTTGAGGTTTCTATTTTTACATGGCGTTCTGTTTCCACAAGAGCTGAGACTGGTGGTTTCAAACTCAATTTAGCATTTAAACTAATTTTCAGCCAGGTCTCTATGGACCAGCAATTAAGAGAGGCAAAGAGTTCAAAGGAGGAGGCTCCAGTCCTCTTGCGCAGCCTGTGGCCCTTTGAAGACAACCCTCTCCCTGCTGCTTCCTGACCTGGGCCCAGTGGTCACAGCCAGCCCAGACAACCTGCTGTTGGTGTGTCCCATGGGCACAGGCCACCAGACTTTACCATTCCCTGCGTATGTCTGGAAAGACACAGATGGCCAAGTCCATTCATTCCTTCCCATAGCTGTCCAAGGGAAGGATCTAAAAACTTCCTGAGAACTTCATGTGCGTGGCAGGCCAAGAGGTACAAGGCAAGAGAAGAATGGGCCCTTTCAGTTCCCAGAGCCACGAGGTCTTCAACCACCCCCTAGCCATCCTGGCTGAGCAGCCGCAGTGGTTCCACAGCATCTACCTTGGCCGGGTTCTGGAAGCCTGCACCCTCTTCCCATCAGGCCTCCAGCTTCATCAGTGGCTTCAACATTCCTCAAAGTCCTAGCAGGGGTTTTCTTTTTTTTCTTTTTGAATTTTAATTTTGTGTGGTGCTAGTGACTAGATAATACAAGATCATGGCACAAAGTGCAGAGAGTACAAAAACTGATGCCTGAGCCTAACCATCCCTGGCACACAGCCCTCTTTGTCAGAGGCCATCACCAAGGTCCCCTGTGCCCTCCCAGAAAGCCTTGACTCCTTTCTTCTTTTACTGTTGGTTTTATAAAAAGGGATTACATTAGTCCTGCTATTCTGCACCTTCCTTTACTTATTTTTCAGTTAGTATATTCTGGATAATATCTAAGTTCCTCAAGTTCTTTCCACCCTTCATATTTCTGCAATCAGGGAATCAGGCCTGAGATTGGAGTCTATTTCTTAAGAATCTGGGTGAATGTCCCACCATGGCTTCAGTAGAGTAGCAGACAGAAGACAGAAGAGAAGGTTTGATGGCTGGGCATCACAGCACTCTGATGTTCTCTGGCTGACAGTCACCCTCAGACCTCTAAAAACCATCAGCTCAGAAGGGCTACTTACTCCAGCCCAAGGAGGCAGGCGGCCAGCAGCATTCTGCACATTAATCCCATGGATTCTAGCATTTCTACCATTTATAGAAAAGATAAGCTACCTCTCTAAGGTCAGGTAAGAACCAATGCCCCACAGCTAATGAGGGCAGAACTGGATTCCAGGATTGGTTTCCATTTCCAAAGTCCATATTCTTGCCAATTTATCAGACTGTTTAAAAAAAATCTTTTACCTATTTGTTTTTTCAAATAGAAATTCTAAAAAAGTCAGTGTTGTGATTGCCGTCTTTAATCCCCATGCTAACACTGAGTAACTCGCTGTGACGACTTTTCCCTCCAGAGCCGTGTGTGTCTCTCAACAGACCAGCTCTGATTAGTGCGCAGCACCCACCACAGTGAAAGTCCTCCAGCCAGAGTAGGGGAGTGACCAGGAGAAACCCAGACGTGGTGGTGTGGGAAGTTTATCTAACTTGTGAATCCTTAGCTAAGGTGCTATGCTGCTGGAGGTATAGCAATTGAGATGAAGAAGCATAGGTAAGAGAAAACAGATGGAAAAGAAAAAAAAAAAAATTTTCTTTCTTCAGTGCTCAAACTAGCTTAAGAGATCAAAGAGCCCACGTGGCCGAGTGTTGGTGAGGAAACCTAACCTGACCCCGGGTGAGTGCAAACAGCAGCCAAGGTCAGATATGGGGCAGAGGCAGGCCCAACTTCAGCTCCAGCCCAGCGATAGGTGCTCAGGGAGCAAGACCCCAGCCTCCCACCTCCTGACATGGGACTATTTTGCTGTTTGTTAGTGACTCCAAGCAGGGCTCAAGGGATGAAGAAACTCTGGGTTGGGGTGACACAGGTAGGGGCAGTGCTCTCAGCTAAAGTGGATCACCTAGACAGCTTTTTCCTCATGATGGTCACATCTCCCCTCCCTGAGGATCTGTGGAAAGTTGGCTATGCTACACTGGGAGGAGCCAGATGGAGGTAGAGAACCCCTTGCCTACAACTATTCCGGCCAGGTTCCAGGAGAGGTGGCAGGTAGCCATGGGGCTCAGCACCTACCCTGAACAACCCTATCAACTGGCAAGAACTTAGAATATAACTGGAAGCCTATAGTTCTTTTCTGTTTTCCTAAAAGAGCCACTAAAGCCTGGCCCAGAGTCACAGTCCACCCAGGCATCAGCCTGGTGAACATATTCTCTCAATGCCTTTGCTGGAAGGCAGTGCTTTGGGTTCCTTTTCCATCACCCAAGAGAGAACGTCCGAGACCCCACACAGCTATCCCTAACTACCTTTGTCTCTTCAGTGCCTACATTGGCAGTAGCCAGTGACTGTCCAAGTGCAGTGCAGCAGAATGCAAGAGCCCTAGGTCTGAGGGCTCTGGCCCCTCTCGAGGCTCCATGTCGCACAGAGGATACCTCCCTAATGAGGTATGTGCAGAGGAAGCAGCCTCCGCCAAGCAGGCTTCCTCAGCAGATTTTTCAAAGCTCTAATAAAGGCTACTTTCATTACATGAGCTCACAATAACAGACATTACAAAAAGATAACAGTGTGCAGTCTACAGCAGAGGAAGTACTCTGTGATGTCTTGACTGGGTATTAGTGAGCTCAAAGACCTACTAAGAAAAAGACTTTAAAAAAAAAAGACTTTTAAAAAAAGTCAACTGGGGTTCTGCAACCAGAGAGACACTGTGCTAGGGAGCATTCCACCAAAGCCAACCACATGGCCAGGGGACACTCCACTCGCTTGACCACCACAGCAGGCCCAGGTCTGTCTACTCCTTCCAGCCCCGAACAATGCAAGTTTCTGCAATGGGGACAATTGAGTTACTTGCTGACAAGATTCTGAGCTGGTGGGAAGGAAATGCTTTGTGAATTCCAAATATAATTACTGGAACATCACTCAAGAGAAGAACATAAGTTTTAATTGCTTCCTGTCCTCCTCGGGACCCCTTCAGATTGCAGTGACTTTTCATGCTGCTTAGTAAAATGGAAACAATTTGAGGTGTAGAGGAAAGAGACTGGGGTTCAACTTCCAGCACTGAAATTCATGAAATACTGCTTCACATAATCCCTGGGGCCTTCACCTCCCCTGTCAACAAGAGTCACGATGACATCTATCTCAGACGGTCACTGTGCAGACTGAAAGCAGTAACCAAGTGAAAGATCTCTGTGAAATCTAAGACTCTGTCAGGTCATGTGTCACTGTTCCCTTCCTGCTGTCCCTCCCGCTTTCTCCAGGGTGGGGTTGGCACTGTTATCTGGTGTCTTTCCCAAGGATGGCTGTAACATGTCCACATTTCCTTCATGTTCTCTTCTCAGTTACAGAGGTTTCTAGGATACTGGACTACAGACATTTTCTAGGACCATCACTCCCATCAACCCTCTCTCTCCTGACTTCAAATAGGAAAACGGGGCCCCCAGGTCACAAAAAAAGTGGCTGACAGCCCTGGGTCTCCAGACTAGCTACGTGTACCTCTCCAGCTTTCTACTTCTCCTCTTACCTCCAGCAGTCCCACCCTGCCTGCCCTCCTCAAGGAGCAGAACCTTCCTTTTCCCAGAGTTCTGCTGGAACCTCTATGACATGCCCTGTGTACCTTGGCATTCTGCAGGGGCGGCTGGTAGCTGGACGGCCGGTAGAACATCCTCTGAGTGGCATCTGTGTGGATGTCGCCGAGGAAGAGCTCCTCTACCAGGTGGTCCAGGCTGTGATGGGGATACTGCTTCTCCACGCGGATGAGCTGCAGCTCATGCATGGCAAAGTTCACGGCTCTGGTGCATTCGTGGCCATTCTCTTCCCGCCACAGGTCATAGGCCATGTCCTGCACCCAGGAGCCACCCAAGGGCAGGAAGCCTGGGCACGTGTGGTTCACCAGCCGGCTGAGCTGCTCTGCAACCACCTCTGTGTGGCAGATGACCTGGACACCGTGCAGCTGGTAGTCAGCTTCAGTGCCCCCACGGATGATCCAGGATGCTTGGCGGAGGCGAATCTTACCACGGATGATGAGTGTGTAGGTGGGATTTGTGCACCGGTTGCTGCCATAATAAAACTGGTAAGCCTTGAAGGTGTTATTGTGGTAGAATCTGTAAGACCTGGTGATGAACTCTGGCCCCGATCTCACTTCACAGCTGGAGAGGATGAGGGAAGGAAAAACCTCTATAAGCACAAGACCAGATGGAAGAGAGCCACAATCATGTCAAGAAATCACAGCAATAACAATAAAATGCTTTCTATGGGCAGATACTATTCCTTTATAGAAACCAATTCACTGAACCTTCACAGCCACCTAGAAATTATTTATGATTATCATCCACAGCTAGGAAACTGAGGCATGAGATTAGGCTATGTGTCCAAGGTCACACAATCAGAAAGTGTCAGAGCCTAATCATGAATCCAGGCAATCTGGCTCCAGCAATTGCTCCTAATCAGTCTATAACAGAAGGGTTTCATTGATCATGGGAATAGGAGAGGTAAGCAGAAACTGTAGCCTAACTCGGAGAGAAACCTTTCTTTCTGGATAAGGAAAAAGAGTGTGGTGCTAGCCTATCAAAGGAGTGCCCTTGTGTCAGATTAAAAACAGGTGACTTCATGAGCGCTTTCATCCCATATCCCTGCCTCGTGTAGGCAAGTGTGAGATGTCTGTCAATCTGAAATGGAGTCTGGTCACCTAATGGCAAGTGGAAGGTCACCTTCCCATCCATGCAAAATTCATTTTCTCTCTAGCAGGAAAAAATTAAGGGCAATTAAGGGGAAACAAAGCTAACATAACAATAGAAACATGGGTTCCTTTGGTTTGTGTTGGCTGACAAGGGGGATATGTCCTACATGGAGGAATTAGATATATGCTAGATCCTAAACCAGAAACACTTAAGACTGGTTTACACAGCAAGATGGCTCAGTGGGCTGCATGACATTCTCACTGCTCTAGTCATCATACACAACAGAGCCTGTCCCCTGGGACAGAAGGGATTCCTTAAATTGCTGGCCAAATAATTTGTCCATTAAGCTTGTTTGAGCCTGGTCTATATAGTCATGACTTTTTAGTTCATAGTGTTCATCTTCTACCTCTGCTAGTGAACACAGACTCTGGACTGAGCTGACACATCATGGCTTCATCAAGCAATTGGGCTGAAATCCCAAACTCAAGTAGTTTTCAAAATTGCTCATGATTTAATCTCCTCCACCCTCCCCCCGCTTTATTTTTAACAGTACTAGAGTTTGAACTCAGGATTTCATGCTTGCTAGGCAGGTGCTCTACTACTTGAGCTACACCTCCAGCCCTTTTTAACTCTAGTTATTTTGGAGATGGGGGGGGTCTCACTTTTTGCCCAGGCCAGCCTGAATTGCAATCCCCTAATCCTCCTAATCTCAGCCTCCCAAGTAGCTAGGATTACAGGCTGGTGTCAGGCTGTAATTTAATTTGTTACTTAGCTACTTAAGGCAGGTATTTTTTGCACTGTAAATTTGTTAGCAGATGTCAAATAACCTCTTGTGGATGGATATAAAACATCCCGTGGGGCTTGAGCACTGGTCATCAGAGCCAAAGGCACTAGAGAACACCCAGGCTTTCCCCCAAGGGAAGAGAAGTGTGTGAGCAGTGCCTGAGGTCAGCGAAGGTACACATGAAAAGAGCCCTTCTTTGTAATTTTTTTATCTCAGTAACTGACAGCCTGTGGCTTCTGCCTCCTGTACACACAGGTGTGTCTCAGGTCCAACTATTTCTCTATGGCCCACTACTCTTCTCACCCAATCCTCTACCACCCCTAGCTAGAAGTGTGCTATAGTCTCTTGGTGGTCACACCCAGATCATTTTTTTCTCCCATCCATTTACCACAGAGCAGCCAGAGTGCCCTTTAGTAAAGTTGAAACCATAGTTTAAGCATGGCCCCAGGTGAAAACTCTTCAATAACTTCCCAGTTTTCTTAGACTAGAAGGAGATCTATAAGCCATATGTAGTGGGAACACCTGCAGCTCCAGCTACTCTGGAGGCTGGGGCAGGAGGAATGCCCCAGGAGTTTCAGGCCAGCCAAGGCAAAAGCAAGACCCCATCTCAAAAAAACAAGAAAGAAAGGAAGGAGGGAGGGAGGAAAAGAGAGGAGGGAAGAATGAACTGGCCTGGTCTTCAAGGTGCCTTTGGCACTCCTCTGGGGCTGCTCTCCCCTGCTCTACTCCACCCTGCTGGCTGCAGGGCTAGGGTCATGGGGTCTCCAGTGTGGCCAGGCTCTTGCTCACTCTGCACCCAGCCGGGCTTTTCTAGTTTCTCTAGATAGAAAGCTCTTCCTATCTCAGATCAAGAGTTCCCATTTGCTAGACTTTCTGAGCCCCACCCCGATCCTAAAATATGGTTTCCTAATATTCTCCTTCCACACCCATTGTCCCTCCACCTTCAATGTACTTCTTTGTGTCTTTATTTGTGAAAGCCCTGAATAGGGACCAAGTTGGTTTGGTTCACTGCTATATGCACAAAATATAGAACAGTGCTTGGCACACAGTAGACACATAATAACTGGCCATTTAAAGTTATGATTTCCCATTAAGATTTTCATGCAAATAATTTATCATGCAGTTTTTAAGAGACCTGCTTTTAGAAAAAAATTTTGAGTCTTCATTATTTTATAAGATTTGTTTTTTCATGTGTCCGTATGCATTTGATCTCTCCCCAAGGTATTTGAAAGCTGCTATCCATATCCCAGAAACAGTGCACAGGGAGAGGTGATCAGATCCCAGAATACGTCTTGTTAATGCTCAACAATTCAATGGGTAGAACAGATCTGCCCCAGGCTCCTTTTAAAAGCTCTAGTGGAAGATAACCCCGAGCTCAAACTGGGATAAATCTCAGCTTCACAGCAAGAAAAGGAATCCAAGACCTGCACCCTGGCTAGTCGAGAGCTGTAGCCATATATTAAATTACCAGAATATGGCGAGAATACTTAGTTCATCAGAAGCTTTCCAGTGGTGTTTCAAAGTTGGTGAAACACAGGCGCTTAATTTCACTTGCTAATGGTTTCTCTTTAAGCACAAGTGGTCCCACAGAGTTCAGTAAACAGGGATCTATCACTCATATGATTTCTACAGTACTTATGGATATTTTCTTAACCAACACTAATCTCAAAAAGTTACCAAGTTCCTGGCAGAACTTAGACAACAACCAAGCTGCTGTCTTCTACACAGTCTCTGTATCTGAGAACCCCAAGAAGGGTCTTCCATAGGCATGTGTACTCTGGTCCCTCCCCTGTCCCACTCCTGCCCTTGCTCCCTTACCCCGTGGAGACCCAGTGGCCCTCAATGGCTGGTGGCATCTGCACAGTGATGCGTGCACCATTGTGGAGATGCTTGAGCATGTGATGGCACTGTGATTCCTTGAAAGCCCTCCATGCACTCTTCTCTAGGGAGCGAGGATGGGATCTGCTGTCTGGGTGGAGGAGCGCAGAACCCTCTCCCAGCCCTGAAAAAGAAAAGTGGAAAATTAGCATGAAGCAGTAACAGCAGATCTGAGTCAGATGGACAGCAGCCTCTGACTGGAGGCTCTGTCCAACCTCTGATGGAGGTGGGAGTGGTTGCAAATGGGAAAGGTGTGCTCACTCCATTGGGTGGAAGATGTGCTTGCTCTCCCCGGACCTCCATGCCGAAGTGGCGAATGTCCATATATATCTTCCCAGGTGAGAACGCTGAGGTCCATGGAGATCAGGAACCTGGCTTGCTTGCGGGCACATGGCTAGTTCCCAGCAAAGCCAGAGTTCAGATACAGGCACCTGTGAAATAGCGACTAAGGGCTTCAGCTTCCTGAGCACCTGGGTGGTGCAGGCCCTGAATGGATCAGGGCTGCAGAAGAGAACTGTGGGCATGTTCTAGAATCACTAGAGAGAAAGAAGTGAAGTTGAAGGGAAAAAGAGGTCATCAGGAAGCTGGGCCATATATAATGACATATTTAGGTGAGGAAGGGAAAGAGCTAAGACACCAGCCAGAATGAAAATGTAGCCTGGGCAGAACTGGAAGGAGAAAGGATCAGGAACAGTTTGGAAACTCCCAGCTGGGATCTACTCCTTGGCTTGGCTGTCATCCAGCTCACTTCAAGTCATGCATCTTCTGGCTCTCATAGCATCAAAGGAATGCTGTTCTCATGGTTTGGGTGTGGTTTGTCCCCATGGATTCATGAGTTGGAAGCTTGGTCCTCAGTATGATACTGAGAGGTAGTAGAACTGTCTAGAGGTAAAGCCCAGTGGAGGATGTATAGCCATTAGGGGTACTGCCCTTGGAAGAGATGAATGTAGTTCTTGAGGGACCCTACCTAGTTCTTCTATGATGTTATTGAAAAGAAAGCTGGTCATCCCCAACCTCTTAGGCTTCCTGTCTTGCTATTTAATCTCTCTCTTCCATGCTGTGTCCCATGATGTGTCATGTAAAGGGGCCCTTACAAGAGCCAGCACCATGCTGTTTTGACCATCAGCTTCCAAAACTGAGCTATATACGCCTCTTTTCTTTATAAAACACCTAGCCTCAGGTTATAGTACCAGGAAATGGGCTTATTCAGTCCTTATTCATATTTCTTCTCAAAGAAATATGAACCATATACTCTCCTGCTATAGGAAAATGCTTTAACCTCTTCAATTATTTTCCAAGGCCAGCCCTGCACCCCACAAAGTCAGGGAAAACATAAACATCTTACATGAGGTTGTTAATTAAGAAAAATTATAGATTGCATATGCTTATTTCCAGGGGTATAGCAATACTAAGATCAGTAGTTTAGGGTGGCCAATATTTGCTGTGCAAAACTACCAGTAGCCTAATATTCAGAATAAAGCAATAAAAACGGTATCACCTGAAAACCCACTGTCTCCTTAGAAATTCACTCTTCAAGTGATTAACAAGTAGATAGGTCTCTGTGGTGGGCATACTATGTATTCAGCACTGTATTAACAAAAAAGACACTAGTTAGACAAATGTTTGAAAATTTAATAAAATACATGCCAAGAAAATAAAATGGGCTTATTAGACAGCTACTCATGAGGGCTTGATTATATGTATTTTTAAGAAATACCTGAATAATTTCATAGAGGAACTGTGATTTATGACAGACACTTAAAAATAGAAAGCAGATTCATAGTATTGTGATTTACAGTAAAACTCTACCTGGATAAACTCAGTCCTTCAGGCTGACAATACTGAGATAGCTATAAAGCATTCGGGTATCTGCCATCATGTGGGCAAAGCATTCTGAACATTGAGCTAATTTTTGATGAGAAGTCCTGGCAGTGAGAAGACAGACACCTCTCTGCGTGAACTCCCAGGTTTTCCTCAGTAAAATGCTGGCCTTAAGACAGCTTCTGACTGTTTGCACATCTTAAATGCAGCTAAGGACAATGAGACAAAGACACCTGCCATTACTACAGTGAAAACTGCAGGCCAAAGTGGGCTATGAACCCCATCGAGGTGAGATACACACTCACCACAAGACCTTAAAGTAGGAAAAAACGGGTATTCTGCAATCAGCAGAAATACACAGGAACACCATGACCTCACACAAATTACTTGATCATTCTAAGCTCTGGTCTACTCAACTGTAAGGAACAGATAAGGTCACCCACCTCTTAGAACTGTGCTCAGTTCAGCCCAGTGCTTTTCAGTGTCATTATCACAAACACCAATGAGGCTCATAGGCTACTTTCAAAAAGTGCCTCTTAGTTGATGGAACATTTAAAATAATGGTAAATGTGGTCCAGGGCCAACCTCACAATAAGCCCTGAGAACTGAGTGTTCAGAATAAAGCCAAAGGGTTCAAAGGCAATATTCAATGCTGACCCTGGAAACAGAAGAAAGGCAACGCAGGGCACCAGGCCTTGTGGTTGTTGGCAAGTTCTATTCAGCTTACCAATACCTATCAACTTTTATTTTGTGTATGTTAGAGGTGGAAAGAACAAAGATGAATTAAGGTAAGTTTTTTTTTCCTTTGAGGTCCTTGAGGTCTGATTGGCCTGGATGTCAAAGGGGAGATGGTAGATATGACAGAAGAGGGCTCTGGGAAGAAAGCTCGAAGGCACAGAGTGAGAGGCTGTTGGTATTCAGAAGACTGGAGTCACACTGGGAAGGGAGCCTTGCAGAAATGCTTCTTAACAGTAGTAAAGAAGTAAGATCCAATATGCAAGTCATCAGAAAGCAGGGAAAAAATGCCATTCAATTGCTCAGGGATTTTCACTGTGACTCAGCAGCCTCTGGAGAGGTGGTCAGAGAAGCCAGGGTGTCAGGTAAACTGCCAGTTGGCACAGAGTGGCTTAGGGCTCACGCTTTAGGGTGATACCATATTTACAAGACAGAACATGGGGTTGATATTTATACTAGTCAGTTTCCATTGTTGTAACAAAATACCTGAGGCTAGATCATTTGTTCTTAAAAATAAGGTTTATTTTGCTCACTTATTGAATATACAGCATGGCCCTGGCTTTTACTCGGGTCTGGCGACAGCTCAATAGCTGGGTCACATTGTGCTGGATGGCATCATGGCAGGAAGACATGGGAGTACAGATCCCATGGTGAGAGGAAGCCAGAGAGGGATTTGATGCTACATGGGCCTTGTTATAACTCAGTCCCCAAGACCAGCATTAATCCCCTCCAAGGGTGATGCCCCAATGACTTAATCACTTCCTGCCAGGCCCTATCTCACATCACCACACTGGGGACTCAGCTTCCAACACATGAACCATGAGGGACAAACCACCCGTAAACCATTTAAAAATCTTTAAAAATCTTTTGCCCTTGAAGTATACTTAGAGAGCCAAGTAAAAGAAGGAGCTGCAGTCCGTGGATGAACTGTCTCAGGTCTGTGGCCTGCCACTGCAAGTGGCCTCCAGTACTGACTTGGCCCATGTGATGCGGGAAATATGGATGGCTGCCTTGTGAGTGCTACTTCTACTCAATGTCTAGGATAAAATTCATGTAACACCAATCAATTTCAGCTGCAGGAGAAGCTAAGGAGAACAGCTGCATCCTCACTCTCCAAGGCTCCCTTCTCCAGAAGCAGCCATGGGATGTCCACAAAGGAAACCAGTGTTAGGCTTCTGTCAACCCAGGGTCCTATGTGTTCACTGCATCACCCAGAATACATCAACTCTAGTCATTCAATCAATCCTCGAGACTCTGAGAGCCAGGCTATGCACAGCAGCTACAGACACCATGCTGGCTGGACTCTCAGCTTGGGGAGAAACCAGGTCCCCAAATGGGCTTATAAGGTGAGCAGGCTCTCAATTCTTCATTGGGGTAAGGGGCATGTATGTCTTGAAGAACGAACAGAAGCGGTCCAGGTGGAGTACACAGCACATTAAACACAAGAAGATGGGAATGAGTAGCTCCTGAAAGGAGAACTGCAAATGGCCGAGGGGGGGAGAACACAGGCAGCCCAGGATGATGAGGGATAGATGGGTAGACATGATCAAGGGCTGAACTTGTGTGTGAGGGTTCCTCACTGGAAAGGTAAAGAGGCACCACAAAGGATTTTGTCCAATGTAATTATGCAACAAGAATGCCACTTTGGAAGGATTACTCTTCCCTTTTTTGGAGGCAGGAGGAACAGCCAAATTAAAAGCAGGAAGACTAATGCTGAGCCTACTGAAATGATTACTTTTGTCTTTTATTTTTTGCCTGAATAAGTGAGAAAGATAACTGCTTTCAACAAATAGAAGTAAAGTCTTTTTACAGTGTTAGAGAGGTACTAATGATTTTCTGCATATGGTGGAGAAAAGTATTATCAATGAGTTGTATTAAAAAAAAAAGGAAGAAAGGGACAGAGGAAGGAAAGTAGGAAGGAAGGGAGGAAGGGAGGCAAATTTGACACTACATCTGAAAAGGAACTTTTGTAAAATACATATGTTCTGCTGTAATATATTTTAAATTACATAAATCAATCAAGGAGTTCGCAATGCACCAGGACACTGCTCAAGTACGGCAGCTAACAATAGTAATAGCTCCTGTCTGAGGACAGCTATAATAGTATGTGCTTATCATCTAAAATAAAATTTTTTAAAAACACTCCACTGTGTAACTGGAAGTGTTGGCTCATCACAACATTTGGCTGCTGAAACTTGTATCATTATATGTTGAATACAGGTGACACTGCAACCTTTCTTTCATGATTTAGGTTCTTAAAATTGGCTCACAGTCTTTATTAGGTAGAGATGTATGCTGTGGGTAGAGATGACTGGGATGAAAGGGTAACAACCCATGTAGGCTATGAAAGGATTTTTCCCTCCTAATTTTACTTATAAAACAAGGGTGAGGAAACTATGTGTGAAGGTGCACCAAGTCACAACAACATTTTGATTAATTAAGGATTCTGGATGACTGAGGAGACCAGATATTGGGGTACCCATTCACTAAGATTTTCCTATAAATTAATCTAGGAAAAACTGTCTCAAAGGATCAAATGAACTATCAAGAAGAAAATGGTCTTGCATA